AAAAAATTCAGTTTCTCGTTGTCTAATTAGTACTACTGCAATTACTTTCTATCCATTTATATCAAATGTTATAGTAAATTTGTTAGATAAAAATAGCTACTTCGTTCTTAACCATCATTTTTACCAAATGACTGGCTTTTCCGGGCTTGCAACTTTATCAGTTTTATTTGGATGAGTTCCAAAATTTAATAAGGTATTCTTAAATTTTCTTAAAAAAGAAAAAAGGATACTTCGGGACATGCATTCGTGAAATCTAAGGAAGTAAAAAAACTTGACAAAAATAATTAATATCAGAAGTTGATATTTTCATTAATACATTATGTCCGCCATTTATTACAGTATTATCGTCTGACAAAATATTTTTATTAAATAATTTTTTTATTAAATAATTAAAATTAAAAAAATATAAATAAATATTAATTAGAATTCATCTATAGAAAGTATATAGGATTTTTCACAATTGTATATATGATAACAATTTTCGTTCCAAATATAAATGTAAAATAACCTTATATATAAATTTTTAGTTATATAAAATTCTTTTCATCTTAGTATTTAGTATCATCAAGATTATTAAATATGATTATTTTACTGGTAATTATTTCATAGATAATTTTTTGGTTTTCAAAATGCAACGTATAAGCTTATATTCATACTTTCTGCAAAAAAGGATGATGAGGAGTAAGTTTATTGACTATAAATCAATATTACAGATATTTTTTATTTACTTGAATCAAAATCAGTAATGGACTCTTAAAAAAATCTTCAACGATTTCTAAAAGAATAAAGAAAAAGAGTCATTATAAAGACGATTTTTATATCGATTAAACAGATGTAAAATCAAAGGTCAATAATTACATAAAAGATATCAGACAATACAATTACACGTTTGAATTAATTTTTATTATGATTAGTTATAGGTATGTCGTCTAAGGAATAGTTAATTTTAAAATAGTAATAGTCCTGAAGCTAAAAATTTGTTTTCTGTGAAAATTAAAAAAAAAATTTCTGACACTATCTAAAAGTAATAGACTTTTATACTAATCTAAATGAAGAGAAGGATAGATAAAAAAACTTTTATGCATGAGTAATTGTTCATTTCATAAAATACTATTTAATTTTTTTAATAGAGAAGTTGATATTTTCATATATTAAAAATGGATGCTCACTATAAATTTTAAAAAATATTCTATGTAAAGTTATTAAACAATAATATTGTACAACATTCTCAAATTTCTATTGTTTTATTCAGTTATATTTACAATTGCTTTTAATAAATAATTTTTGTATTAAGAAATTATGCAATTTTGTCTGCATATAAAGGCAAGCGCTAGTTAATTAGTTTACTATTAGTTGAATGTTTAAATTTAAATATGATTTTTATATGAAAATTTCTATTTTCAGATAACCATTGGTTATTCAATATATTTCTTATAAATTGATATTAATTATTACTTATTACTTATACTACTTTTACTTTATATTAAAATATTAATATGCCATAAATTAATCTGAGTTTTTAACGTAAATAAAAATTTGTAAAAAATATATAAATTGATTTTATGAATATATTTAATAGAAGTAAATAGAATATACTTGTACACGTTATTTATTTAACAATTGTGTAACAACAAAGTTAATTTTTTTTTATTTTCATATTCAGAAGTATATTTTTCTTTCATATACATTTAAAACATATAATTAAGCATATAAATATATCAAAATTAACATATAAAATCGATTTTTATTAAGCTAATTATTGAACCATTATTTTATATTTAACCATTATTTTTCAATTATTTCTTAATTACATGTACTTATTTAAAGTCCAAAGCTATCCTATTACTGTGATCTGTTTTTTTTTTAATATCTGTAAAATCTAGTAAATTTAAATTAGTCCAAAGATAATTCGTTTTCTGCTATTAGATTATAAATACAATTTTTTACCTTATTACGTAGAATCGTGTGATTTTTCTTCGCTTTTATTCAATTAATATTTTATTATTCAGATTAATTATGGTTTAATTAAAATTCGTACTATTCTAGGGAACTACAGAAAGTTCGAAAAGTTAATCTTCGCATTCTCAGCAACACATTCATGTTATTAAAGCACTAGTCCAGAATAAAACGGACATAATTATATTGTTTGGAAGAGGAATTATGCATATATGTTATTATTTTTTCATAAACATAAAGTATTATGTATGAACTAAGATTATAAGTATAAGAAAACTGTATGCTAATATGAAAATCTATACAATATTTTTTGTATGTAATTTAAGAATTAATTATTTGATTTAATTGTTAAATGTTTAGTTTATAATTGAATATTAATACTTACATATTTATCTAATATAATATCTCCTATAATAAAAACAATTAAAATAGATTTATAAAAACAACTTATTATTATTTCTTTTATTATCAGATATAACATTTCATATCTATAATATAAATTATTAATTAAAAAAAAAAAATATATATATATATATATATATATATATATATATACTGTAGAATGTACTAATAGAATGAAAAACCGTATTAGCATTAATAAATTGTATAGATCTATATAGTTTCTATCAGTAACAATTAACATGTTGTAAAATTGTAGTTACTATATTATTTATAAAATTATATGTTAAATATTTTTAAAATCAGACTTAAATATTTTGTTCTTAAATAAGTAGTAATATTTAATATATAGTATCAGTATACAATTTTGAATCTGGAGTTCTTGTATGTTCAACTACCACAAAATAAATAAATAACGTTTTACAGTTGAATTTTTTACTTATTTTGTAATAAAATGAGGGACCAGACAGATTAAAATATAATGTTAAAAAGACGGTATCTGTAGAGAATTAATATTGGAATTAAATTAAATAATATAGATGTTAATTACTTCGATCATTTACCTTGCATACCTCTAACATAATGTATTCTTTTAATTTATTTAAAATGTTATTAATTTTATGTCGTTATAATGTTTTCAAATTTGAGCTAGTTTAATCACACCTAACATTTGTCTAACAACATCCTTTATCTCAGCTTTACAAATTATTATAAAGTAATTTAGGCTTTTCATTTATTTCTGAAAATGTTCATTTAATGTTCATCTAATTAATAAATTTACGATACTATTGTTACTTATGTAATTCAGATGCAGTAAAAGTTTTTTATATAACAAATGATTATTAAACCTCAATATGTTGATATTTCATATTTCATGAAATCGATGTGAAATGTTAACTTAATCTACCATTTTATACATTTTTCTTCATATATCCTTATTACATTACCTACTTCATGAAAGAGAAAAAAATTATACTAACCCTATTCATAATTTTTGACAATAAAAAATTTTGAACAATTTCTCAGCTTGTTAGTTTTTTTTTAATCATAGACATGTTAAGGTGATAAAATGTTTCATTAATAAAGGGAAACTTTAAATAAATTCCTGTAATTCGTAAACTTCATAAATAGAATAAAATATCGAATATATTCTATGAATTTCTGCGACATATCAGTGGAAAAAATTAAACCTTTTAAAACCGACTAAATTATAATTTGAATTTCGAATAAATTAATTAACTGTTAAGAATAGAGTAATTTTTATAAAAGTTGATTGAAAAGTATACACTTTCGAACTTTTATTTAATATAATTACTAATGTTTATTCGTAAAGTTATAAAATTATAATGTTGATTAAATATGAGGATTCGTTGCAATTAAAAATGTTTTGTAATATTATAAAATTGTAAAAAAATCTTACTAACAAATTTTTATATTCTAAAATTAAGGTCGATTATTTTCTAATATTTAAATTTAATTATTAATAAATTATTATTAAATCTATTATTGATTGATTTTTACTGTTTTCTTCCAGTTCCAGACTTGGAGAAAGTTATTTTTATAACTTATCGTGTTAATATTTTAAATAACATAATTACGACACATTTAGTATAGCTAAATGAGCAAACTGCGGTAAAAAAAATATTAGCGAAATTTGAAATATTCACATTCAATAAAAATATTTTTATATATTAATTATATATGCTTTCATATATCATATACTTTATATAACTATACAAAATAGTAATAATGATAGGTTGACATTCCATGTAGGTGGAATACATGTCAAATGCAATTAACTTTATCAGAAATACATTTAAAATTTATTAATAATTTTTTAATTTCATAGAAAAATTTTTAGTATACGTTTACATTCTTCATATCGCAAATTCCATAGAATATATGTCACTTTACAAGGTACTAATGTAGTTTCGTGACCTTACGTATACTTGTGCACTTACCCGTAAATACCAGCGATAGTATCTAAGCTAGAAACATAGAGTAGTTATAAAGCTAATATCGTAAGGCGTACGTTATACATATATTACATAACCATATGCCGGATGCGTCGTTAATGTCTAACAACTACATAAATATGGATCATTCGGCAGGTGATTTTCGATTTTGTATAACCACTTATCGACGCTTATAGCATATATCACAAGCAGCATACATATGACTATATCGACGATTCATTGTTTCTTACGCTAAACAACAACTATATTAAAAAGAAACTGATTTAACGTATATTTATAAAATTTTTACATCTATAATTATTTAAAAAAATTTTAAATTAATTTATTTTCAGCAAATGTTATTCGATTATAAATGAACTGATCATTCAGAAACTTAATTCAGTATTATCCTAATAAATACATTATCATTGTTTAAGTAGTATTTGATTAAGATTTCATCTAACAGAATATTAATCATTTATTTAGTAATATAAATGTAAAATGTATAATAATATGTTTTGAGAAATTAAAAATTGCACCAAAAGACAACATCGCTGTTTTTCACGAACTCATAAAATAAAGAGAAATTTTCGTCTATTTTATAGGCAAAATGTACGAAATGGCAATAATCTAATACAAGTGAACTTAAAACATAATATATGATTAAAAATTACATGTGAAAGCACTTACTGAGGTCAAGATCGTACTTGGTAACAAGGGCGATGACAATGATGATAACAGCATTAAATCAAAGAAACAGCCTTTGCATTTATATCCTCACCATTTTTCGATATAAAACTTTCATTCGACAATTCCTGTCGATATTGATATGAGAGTAAACCATTTAACAACGTGGATAATTGATGTGTCGTGTATCTTTGCAGTATCAGTCTATAATTAAATTAATTTGATTAAATTATTAAGAGAGAAAGAGACATTAAATGATACTATTTATGAATAGATAACTGACATTACAACTACAGCGTGCTACAATGGTTTTTATTATTAATAAAAAAAGTCATTATTCATTATTGCTAATATGAACAACATTTTACGTATCATCAATTCTGCAATTAATTAATTCTAACAACTAAATATTGTCTATTTACCATTAAAAAAAAAAATAAAATTTGAGTGTCTTATTACGAGAATTTTGTCATCATTTTTATTATTCGAAACTATTGACGTATTGTATCTGCATTATATTTTTAATATTTTTATTACTAAAATATTATTTTAGTTTGAATCAGATGATTCTCCGGCATATTGGAATATATGAAAAAAATTTTTTCTTTTAAATAAATAATTTAAAATAATTTTATCATGCTGAAAATTTGTCATTGAATGTATGTAATATTCTTGCTTGAAATAATTTTTTTTTTTTTTACATAATGATTGCATTTAAACTATCTGAATAATTAAATTATAAAATAAATAATAACATTTTTCAATTAATTATATATTTTTAAAATTATTAATATCTAATATATTAACTGTGAAATATCAATTTTTTATTATCGATTATATATTATGAATGCATAAGATTTAGTAATGCATTTATCTTTATATCAGTTAGGTATTAGTGATAGGCTAATGGCATATATTATCTTTCACTCGATTGCATAACGAAGAAATTCGAATAATACAACTCTGTAAAATTCGATATATTTTCATTTCAATCGACAACATAACAAAATTTAATTCAATATTAATGCAACTCCAATCATTACAATTTTAATGATAATAATAGTATATGCATCATAATAAATTGTCAGTAAATATAGTTTTATATCAAGCACTATAGTGCCGTTTGTAATTATGATTTCATATCTTTTATAATTACTATCATTTCAATTATGCAATACAAAGCAAAATCTGCAAACTTCTTAGTCGGAGTAAATTTTTTCATGACTTAAACAATTATTAATTAGAATTATAAATGTATAAGCATTTAATTAGTTTCTTCAAAATAAATTTATATTTACACAGATATAGTACGATTTATTACAACCTCAAAAGTGAAGTAAATATTTTTATTGTGATTTTACTTATTATGAAAAATATTAAAATTCATTTCAACTTTTAATCTCTCTCTCTCTCTCTTTATATATATATATATATATATATATATATACATATTTGTGTGTATATATGTGTGTGTGTGTGTGTATGTGTTTTTTCTTTTCTTTCTGTAAACTAATTTTGTCAAGAAGATCGAATACGTAAATAAATTTCTAACTTGGTCATAGAATTTATACTGAATTGCGAATTATTTCAATACTCGTATACTTTTTAATATGTGTTTGTCTCTAATTTGAAAAAAATTGATGTATATAAATAAAAAATAAAACAATTATTGTTAAGTAGTTTGAAATTGAAATTATATGAAATGCTCAACGAATAATTAATTTACTTTCAAATTGCATCTATCTAGATTTTAATCACTCTCGTCTATCCTTCGATCATCGAGAGATCAATGATATATCTAAAGCAAGAAGCTACTGCCATCATTGTCAACTCATTGACGAACACCGATAGCATCATTAATAGCGCGATATGAGATAACCAGAATTTCTGCTCATCTATACCTATATATGGTAGTCCATCGTGTAAATTGCGTTCCTCTCTCTTGCTCTCTCTCTCTCTCTCTCTCTCTCTCTCTCTATATATATATATATATATATATATATATATATATAGTTATAGGTATAGACATAGATATATATACATAGATATATCCATGTGTATTTCGGCCACTCGTGGGCAATGAACATACGGTACGTTTGAATCACGTCCTAGAAATTCTCAATCTAACAAATTCACCGTTGATCTTCTGCATTGCATTAATAACAAAATCATTTTATAATTATCTTTTGTGTGCATAGAAATCCACAGTTGTATGAAATGTATTCTATTTTCAATATTACATTTACTTGCAAGTCTTAGTAAAATTGTGTATATTTGCAGAGGTAAAAAACTAAATACGAATATTATAAAATGATAGAATGCCGTTTTAAGTAGCATTTTCAATAACAAAAATAGATGAAAAAAATCTTCATGAAATTCAGTGATACTGGATTATACCGATTTTTTTTATAACGAAGTTGCAAAAGAACATATTATATAATACACATTTATCTTATATTACTCTTCATACACTATCTATTAGTTGTAAGAAATATATTGTTATTCCTGTTTAGATAGTATTTTACAAACATTTGTTACACATAATTCAAGTTCATCTTGACATATCTCTAGATATGTTGATTCGAGCAAACTGGATATTGTATTTCACATAGTTAATAGTGTTAGTTGCAATATATATATATATTTATTTATTTATTGTATGTTATAACTATATAATATTCGATGATATTATAATATTAGAAAAATGTAATACATAATTTAAAGAATTTTTAATTTAACGACTGACTACGAATCAGAATTTCAAAGAATATATCTATATGATTTATATTAAATGACAGAAAATCTTCGCAGAATTATTTTCGGAATGGTTCCTGAGAAGGGGAAAACGTTTTTCCATCGTTAACAATATAGTTGTGCATACTATGGAGAACACACAAGATCCACCTAATAAAGTAAAAATTTTTGCGTATTCAACATCAACGCGCCAATAGTACGGTGTGGTTTGTAACAGCAATTTCCTTTCCTCTTTAACGTTGACTTAACGTCGACATGTCTCCTGTTTCCTCCTCTTTTTCTCTCTTTCTCTCGCTCGCTCTCTCTCTCTCTCTCTCTCTCTCTCTCTTCAGTTTTCTTCATTTTCTTGCACTTATATTCTCCACTGAACTTCCTTAACTTCTAGAGGTTATTTGTTTTTTACATTGAACAATATATTTTGTATTTGTTAAAAAATTTCGTTTTTCCGAACTTTTTTCAAATTTATTGTTATTCTTTGTTAATCCCTATATTTATATTTACAATTCTGATACATATAATATATTCCTATAAATTTAAATTATTTTAACCTTTTCACAATTTTATCAGTTTTAAGTATTTCTCATGTTTCAATTTTATTTCTTGTGTCTTTAACTCAATTTCTTTCAAAGTCTGAACAGCTGATCCTATTATTCTTTTTCTTGTGCTACTTTTAACTTGAATACACTGACTTATAAAACAGTGTCAAAGCTTTAAATATTTTCTTATATTTTTCCTTTGAGCTAGAAGCTCACACGTCTTATGATATCTCTTTTTTATTCACTAGTTCTTCATCCTTTCACTTCCATCATATTTATTAAAATACGTCCTCAACAAATTTCATCTTTTGTAAATAATACATTTCGTAATTGCTTAAGTATCTAAGGACTTAATGCTTAGTTTTGTGGTGTTGCTAAAGTTTCTTTTTTAAAAAATCAGGTCGAGATCTGTTAGAAGTTTACTATTCTGATCCTTATAATATCCTTTATTTAATATGAAAATAAGAAAACAGTATAACCAAATTAAATTTTTACGCTAAGTAGAGATTATACTCTACCTTCACTTTATTTATTCTACGGTACTTATCAAAAGAAAATATGAACATAGATAATAAATATTGAACGAAAATTTATTCATTTTTTAGTTTTTAACTATATTAATTTCCTTTTATTCCTTTGAACTTGATGTATTCAGAAATATAATTATCATATTTACCATAAGTCAATAAAACAATAGTTTTATTATTATACCATCTTATAAATTCACTTTTGAATTATTCAAATGGTTTGTTCTTAATTTAGACATTGCATTCATTAAACACATCCCAGTATCTCTTATTAAGAGAATACGAAATTTATTAATTTTATTCTTAAAAGTAAATATATATATATATATATATTGTTAACATAGTATTACTATTTTTCACGTATATATTTATAAAAGCTATTTTCCAACAGCTTTCAACATGCATGAAACTGTTCAACATATTTCTACTAAATAAGTATATATATTTTCAAAATATTGTTCATAAATTACAAATATTGTTTTGGTGTCATATCAAATTTAAAATGTAAATATTTTTGGTACAATTATGAATTCTATTTTTCCTAATTTTGTTTTTATCAATTACCTGTGTATTTATTAATAACAGTATGAACAATTGTTATGTTAATGATAATATAGATTAGACCGAATTAATTTCAAAATACCTTTTCTCAGATATAAAAATTTTACTACCAAATGCATAAATAAAAATTATTAGCTTAGCTCTATATTATAAAAAATATTATGAATTAAAAAAACTTGCTTCAATATTCGAAAATTTTGAAAATTTACTACTTGCATGATTTAATGTTATAAGATAAAACGATTTAAACTTTAAAAAAGTAGGAATGTACGAATATACTTAAAAAATTTTAAAGTACATTTCTTATATTTAAGAATGTAATTTCCGAACATTATATCAAACATCCCATTTATTGTAACTTTCCTAAATTCAACATATTAACTAAACACTTCATTAATATAACTAACTTCTATGTTACTTAATTAATCATTTATTATTTCTTTTTTATATACGTACCATTTAAAAAGCAAATAAAAAGGCAAATATTTTTAAAAATAATTTTTTAATTAAAAATATGCACCGAATACTTTAAAAAATTTAAGAAAAACTTTTAAATATTAAAAACATTTTTTTATAAGACAATTTACAACTTTTTATGCGCCATAAAAATAATAAACATTTGGGATTTTTCAAAAATTTATGCGAATGATGCTCAAGTATGGTATACACTGACAAGTTAAATACATATTTCGTATGCAATGTCTACAGTACTAAGAAAAAAAACCTGTACTTTATCTATCAATCTCGAAGCAAAGGAAACATTAAGATTTATTTCATTACGAATAATTAATTTA